ATAGCTCCCACATGTACAGTAACATAACTTTTACATTTTTTCAGCAATAATATTTTCTCTCTCTTCTCGTCTTCTCCATACGCTCTCTATGCTTTGATTCTGATCTTGTTACCCATGAATCTCTTTTAATGGTGGTGGGCCTATTCTTGCAGTGTGCATGAATACAAGTTATTTGATCTGCTGAGGTGCCGCTTTCTGGATTTTATGAAAAAAGTGTTTGGAAGAAAGTAATTGGGATGTGAGATAATGGTCTGGTAATTGCTACACTAAGGATGTTTTGGTCAGTTCCTATGGCTATATTTTCTCCACATTTTCTTCAGACTGAAAAAAGAGACGCTCCTATTCTCTTTTCTCTGAAGAGGGAGCTCTGCTCCCTTTTTTTTTTCTTCTTCTCGTTTTTCTTCTTCTTTTATCTTCTTTTATTTGTTGGTTTGTAATATTAATAGTCCGTGTGTTGATCGATTTTTCGAGGACATCTTCGGCAACTTGGTTTGATTTTATATTGTCCGCGTGTTGATCGGTTTCCCAACGGCATTTCTGGCAATTCGTTCGATTGTAAGTTTTCGTTTTTCGTTAGCTTAAGCATGCATTAGGAAATTAAGGACTTTGTTCAAAGACTTAATTTTCCGTATTGTGTATCTAGGTTGCGATCTCGTTGTAGACGTGAACTAGTTGATTTGGGCTAATGACACAAAAACATATCATTAATATTACAAACCAACAAATAAAAGAAGAGAAAAGAAAAAGAAAAATGAGAAGAAGAAGAAGAAAGAAAGGGGAGCAGAGCTCCCTCTTCAGAGAAGAGAGAATAGGAGCATCTCTTTTTCAGTCTGAAGAAAATGTGGAGAAAATATAGCCATAGGAACCGACCAAAACATCCTTAGTGTAGCAATTACTAGACCATTATCTCACATCCCAATTACTTTATTCCAAACACTTTTTTCATAAAATCTGGAAAACGGCACCTCAGCAGATCAAATAACTTGTATTCATGCGCACTGCAAGAATAGGCCCACCACTATTAAAAACTTAAGATTGTGATCGGTGGTAACAAACAAAAGACTCAGCAAATAACAAGAAAAACTTACAACTCAGCCGTTTAAAAAAAAAAAAAAAACTAACAAAATAAAAAACCTGTGAAAATCAGACAACCTCATCGAATTGAAACACTAACAGCTCCAGTAAGTACCGGTTCCCCTAGTCTCCAGTCACATGTAACCCGAATCTTCATATTCTTAAGCATTCCCATAGCTTCAACAACTTTTTGCACATCGTTGTCCTTAAAATAACCTCTGATTCTTCGATGCATTGGAAACTCGAGGTTTGGGTACTTTTCTTTTATAATGAGGTATGCACTCATCTTTCCCCAATTTTTGACTAAGGCGGTGTTGTCACTTCCAAACTGTCTTGATTCCAGAAAATATTCAACAACGTTGTTCAAAACAGTTTCAAACCGTACCGACTCCGATATCATCAGTGCAACAACGAGAATGCCCTTAGCCCACCGCTCAGGGGAATATGTGCTCGCAAACCACCTCAATGCCAACTGGAGTTCTTCCTTCCCCACTACGACATTTTCTAACTTCATCTTCTCACCGCGCTCAAAAGCAGTTTCTAATAGCGAATCATAGCACTCTGTGAAGGTTAAGTCCTCGGACCTGTCAATACGCCTCAGTCCCTCACGCTTGAACTCTCGTCGCACCTCACCCGCTACAAATCCATATACATAGATGTCGTTGCGCCCAATGGTGATGGTAGCTTCGCTTCGTTTTTGTTCACGTCATCCCGTAATACAATCTCGATGTTTCCCGGGGTCTCTTCTAGAACCGGTTTCCCATGACATGTAAACCGATTATCAGACAGCGCACTGCGGAGATTGAGTATAAACTGTCTAAAATCCCCCTTATTAATTTCAAAGTCCATGTGTTGAGGTACCTGCAATTATAACGTCATTATATATAAACTTGAAGAAAAAGAGACATATATCCAAAAAGAGAAAGAGAGTAAGACATTGACAGTACCTCAACTACAGCCATCAGGTTTTTCTCCCGGAAAGATGTGCAATAACAAGTGCGTGCTGCTCCTAGCTCCTTCTCAAGAGTGCCTCGGTCTATTATATATATAATTAGATTTTAGTTATATAAATATAAAGAAAATATGCACTCAACATATATATAATAGTAAAAATCTAAGAATATCCAATGTATACCTTATTTTGAAAAAATTTTCATATTAATTGCTTCAATATACTTGTTTCCAAATCATATCAAATCAAATATCATATCTTTTTTTTTTTCTTCAATAATTTTATTAACATCTCTAATAATTTCATTGATCTCCATTATATTTTTAAATAGAAAAATGTTTGAAATAATTTAAGATGAAATAAAAATATAATCAATTCACTTATTCATATTCTTTATGTCGTTGACCATGTATTTAGATATAAGCTTAGACGTACAGTATAAAAAATTTACAACTAACGAGTAATAATTGATAACAATAAACAACAATTTTCATGACATTTATTTTAATTGTGAAGTTGTGAATTTATTAATTTGTGTCTATTTATTCCTGCAATGTTATAAATTAGTAAAGTAAACTAAAGCAATTAATAAGTAAAGATATCCAATCTGCATGATATATACAACTATCTTACTTATAAATTCCAAATTCTCAAGTAATTAAACAAAATGTTGAGCTAGTTTTTATTTATAAGGCTATATATCATTGTTTTATATTTTGTATATATAATATGGATGTCAAATCAAAGATCGTTGAAAGTTAAATAATTTGATATATCATATATAAAAATAAAATACAAACCAAAAAGTTATAAAATTTTTAAAATAAGAAGAATAAAAAATTTATAATAATTGATGTACGAATTAAATAAGAAAATAAAATGTAATATATGGTAACTAGGACGACGCCCGTGAACTACACGGGTGTTTGAAAAAAAATAATTGTGCAGCAAAGAATGAAAATAAATAAAATTCCTATTGAAAAAGAAAAATTATAAGTAATTAATAATGAAATAACAGATTTTGTAATATTATTTTAAAATCTAGAAAATATTTTGTATGAAATCTGATATATTCTACTTAAGATATATTTAATTTTTCAAAATTATAGAGAATAATTAATTTATTATAGATAAAATATAACAACCGTGAACAACATGGGTGCACTAAAATACAAATAAAATACTTCTATAAAAATAAAAAAGTAATGAAATTATAATCTTATAATAAAATGATAAAATTTAAGTATAAAATGACATATCCCTAAAAATTACGTAGATAATAAAATCATTATTTAAATATTTAATTCAAATAGTATAATACATTTGTCCTAGAAAACGCACGAACAAATAATTTGGGACATGCGGTCAATTCAAAACATGCATGTAATTTGGGATAGAGGGATAAAGTAAATAAATTGAACACTATTATATTAGATGAACTGTGTCTTAATATACTTTTCGTTAAATAGCATATCAATTTAAATCTATCTATCTGTCTATCTATATATAAAATAAGAATAAGATAATCCATTTTTGGAAAGAGTTTCCGCCGAAATCATTAATTAGATACTACAAATGTAAGTTTATATTCTTTTTAAGTATTTTCAAAACAAAAATAAAAAGAAACATTAAATGCATTATCATAATCTCGATTGTCATGCCATATTCTCGATTTTTTTTGTTCAAAAAATAAACCATTTTAATGATATCATAATCTATTTTATTTATGGTAACAATTTTGTTGACTGTATATTTTTTTAGCAGTTTTCTTAAAATCACCGACTAAAAATGAAATCTCATTCTAATTTTGGACAGTACATATATTTTTTATTTTTCTTCCAAACAAAATTTAAAACTGCAATTGAACTGGACATGTTATATTCTTAATCTTATTTTTATATTTCTTTTTAACAAAAATAAACTATAAAAGTGTGATATCCTCCTATATATTATTCTCGAATGCGCTGAGCTTACATGGCTTTTTCTAGTGCTTCAGAATCCTACTTGGCAAATAATCATACTTCGTAATTAGGTTTGGACAAATAATATTGATATATTAATAATTACTAATCTAGATTCAGACATTCCATAAATATTATTTAGCTAACTTAGGTATTTTAATGTCACTTGTACTAATATAACCCTTTAATTCTTTGTAATTTTAGATACTGAGACACTAAGTGACTATATCCTTGATTTTTTATTTGTTTCCTTCAATTAGCTATAGAATTTTAAATGTATTTTAAAAGTCGATAACTTTTGTATCTCTTATCGGTTTTACATATATTATATATCAAATTAATCATCTTTTGATGATCTTTGATTTGACATCCATATTGTATATATGAAATAAATAAATTATATTTACCTTTATAAT